AAATTCAAAAATTCAAAAATTCAAAAATTCAAAAATTCAAAAATTCATAAATTCAAAAATTCAAAAATTCAAAAATTCAAAAATTCAAAAATTCAAAAATTTAAAAATTCAAAAATTCAAAAATTTAAAAATTTAAAAATTCAAAAATTCAAAAATTCAAAAATTCAAAAATTCAAAAATTCAAAAATTCAATCAAAAATTCAAAAATTCAAAAATTCAAAAATTCAAAAATTCAAAAATTCAAAAATTCAAAAATTCAAAAATTCAAAAATTCAAAAATTCAAAAATTCAAAAATTCAAAAATTCAAAAATTCATTATCTGAATTTATCATCAAAAAAGAATCAACATCAAACCAATAAATTTTTCACATAAACCACCCAACATAAATCAGCATAAAAAACATAAATTGACTGCAGCATAACTATTAAAAAACAACATACATTTATTCATGGACCTCCATCAAAAGTCAATTGACTAAAACATGAGTTTGATGGACTTAACAACCCAATAAAAATCAATTTATTGCTTGAATAAATGCAAAAAAAAACCACATTACATAAGCATAAAAAACAGCATAACTAATCCGATAGAAAAACACACGCAAAATTTATCCTGATTCGGATCCGAAAATGCAATCGACCATTTGATGGACTATTGTTAGAATTTATTATTTATGAACATTTACAGATTTGATGCTGATATGATGTATGTCAATAAAACATTTTTTTTCTCTTTACAGCACATAGACTCGGTCCTTTTCTTCTCCTCGTCAAAAAATAAAATCATTTTTGTGTGTTTGAAGTCCATACAAAATGCAATATGAATGCATAGAAAATTTATTTTTGAAGCTTACACAAAAGAATTTCTTTTCACTTCATAATTTTTGTGATGCTGCTTTTTTTCGCAAAATCATATCAAGAAGGGTCAACAACAGGATGAGGTAAGCTGACAAAAAAAAATATTTTTTGAGGAATAGGTCTTTAAGGGTAGATTTTGAAGGAATTGACACTTTGTCTGAAAGTGAGGGGACGGGGTCTGCAAATCCACTTTTTTGACTTGCGGAATAAATAATCAGCTAAACTCTATCGTAGCAGATCGACAAAAAAAATGTTTTTAAAAATGGGAAACAATATTAATTTTAATTATGGTGAGATTTGAACTCACAAACTTAACATTTCAATTTTGGAATGTCAAAATTGATATTACATTACTTAAATAAAGTGTAGCAATTTAATGATTTAAAGGGGCCGTTCACTTATGACATCCAGGGGGGGGGGGGGGGGGGGGTCAGCAAGAAAAGAACAATAGGATATTCATTGTTTTTTTTTTGAAAAATTACCGCTAATTTCGAACGTCATAACTAAACGACCCCTCAAGAAAATAGCTAAAATAATGGATAAACTGATTTTTACCGAGAATCGAACCTTCAACTATCAACAAAATTAATATTAATGCTTTCAAACCATCCATTAATTCATGAACAAACACTGAACTTAAGGCCCCTTTTAATTACGTATCAGAAGGGAAAAGAAGGAGTCGAGTATGATGTATTGAACAACTGAGCCCTCAAAATTTTGCGTCTCCATTCATCCACCCCCTTAAAAATTCTCAACTCAATTCCACAATTCTCTCTTTTTTTGCCTCATCAAAACTTCTCCTGAATTCACAAATTGTGCATTGTCCAATTGCTCAAAAGTGACACGTCACTCAAAACTCAATTTAGTCTTAGAAAATGTTTTGATTGAGGAACTCTGAAATTTGAAACCTTTTGTTATGTCCGTGTTGACCCGAGCACTTTTATGCAATGTAATGCACAGCCGCAAAGATTTTTAACGAATTTTTGACACTTTTTTTTTGTCGAATTCAATTCTGGTTTTCTCGGATGAATGCCTTGATGAATTGCTTTGTAGATGTCTAGAAGGATCGGTAGATAACAGGCATTGTTGGGTCTTAAGTAGCTTGGTAACTATTCTGACAAAAAAAAAATCTTTCATCTTGATGTGCACGTACAGCCACAAAAAAATTATAAATCTTGACGAAAATTAAGAAATTTAAAATTTTTTGCTGCTGTCTGTGCCGTGAAAAAAATTCGACCCCTTAAAACTGGATTTTTTTTTATGCATCCATAAATCTCTCACTGAAAAACCGGCCCCGTCGTCGACATTACCTACAGCACACACATAAATTATGCACGAAAATATCCTTTTGCCATGCATGGAATCACAACAATAAATGGAACTCTTTTTTTGTCGATTCCTGAATGAGACAGAAGAAGGAACAACAAAAAAATACAAGAAGAAGGAAATTTTGTATTCAGGAATGTTTGTTGTTATTTTTTTTTCTCTATTCTATAATGGCCCGAAAAAGGAACAAAAAAAAACGAGAGCTCTGCTGGGTATTGTTATGCAACGTCTCTATAATTGTGATGCAAATTTAGTCCTCAATGAGAGGTAGATAACTTTATGGAAAGTGGATTTTTGGGGGGGTATTGGATGGTTTTTGTGTTCAAACCGTTGTTGAACATGCTTGAAGATTGAATTTTGATTATTTTGGTAGATTTGATTGTGTAACGTTATTGTTCGGTTCAAAAAAGTCTTGATTCAGTCAGCTAGGCTTACAAAACCACAAATTCAGTCATATTGGCTTCAAGAGTCTCAAATTCAGTAATCTCGGTTTTATAAAGGCTCAATATAGTCATCTCAGTTTGAATACTTGCAAACTCAGTCATCTAGGCTTTATAGAGACTCAAAAGTAGTTACCTCAGATTTAAAACCTACAAATTATGTCATCTTGGTTTTATAACATTTTAAATTCAGTCATCTAGGCTTTGTAAAAGCTCAAAATTAGTCATCTTAGCTTAAATCCTTGCAAATTTAGTCATCTAGGCTTTAGTTTAAAATTCGGTTATATCGGCTCAAAAAATCTTAAATGCAGTGATTTCAGCTCAAAAAATCTTAAATTTAGTCATCTCATCTCAAATTAAGTTATAGTTTAAACAACATCAACCAAAACATTAATCAAATCCTTCCGATGGTGCGGTGCGACAACAACGACGACAAAAAATCGAATCCTGTAACAAAAAATCTGTGTGCACATCCATGTGAGAGTCCTATTAAGTAGGGTAATAATTATATGCTAGTTAAAGGAACATAAAGCTATTGTGCCTTTAGGATAAAATGTAAATAACAAGCTGACTTTAATTCTCATTTAGTGAAAGGATTTCTCTCTGTAGGCACTTTTGGGCAATAAAAATATTATTTTTTTTTGTGTCCTTTTAAAAGAAGTTTTTTTGTTGTTGTTGTGCGTTAGAAAAATATAAATTAATTTTAATGATGAATCGTTTTTGTATGTTGCAGCACAAGTTGCTGTTTTGAAATGTGCATATGCACAGAAGCTCAAATAACATCTCGATTTAACGTGAACAATTTAACAGAATTTTGTTGAGGGATGATCGGATGTTGTGCAATTAAAATATGGATGAAAGTGGACAGTTTTCAAGGAAGTTGGGATGAGGAATTGAAGTTGAGAGCGCATAATTTTTGCACAAAAAAAATGCAGTCTTGTTCAAAGACAATTTTACAAATTTTTGATAGGATTTGAACCCAGCTTTCAATGCAGAATTCTTTAAATATTTTTCAGCAATTAAATTCCTTTAAAACATTTTGGCAAAAGTGATTAGAACAACCTCCATATAATCTGAAGCGATGCCTTCAGCCTGAATTTTCTAAAAGAGTTGAAGGCCAGGTTTGCAGTTTTAGGACTGAAGTGATAAGCAGAATCGCGTTATGATGTCTTCCTCTCGATAAGATCATGAAACAAAAGTCATAAAGCCTGCAATCCATCCAGCAATTCAGATAGCCAGACAGCCATCCATAGCATCTCCAACTCCTAATCCATTTCAAAAATCACAGCACAACAAAAAGAAATTAATCATTTATCATTTTTATGCACATTTCAGCTTCTAAATGTCACAAAATGCAAACACATCTGAGCATGAAAATGTAAATGACCCTACCTACGACATTATATCCATAGCCATCTTCAAGCTAGAAATGCGAGGAAATTTAATCACAATTCAACATTAATTCAAAAATCCATATGCAAATAACCTTTAACCTTTCACTAGCATTGTAACTGAAAAAAAAATGTGCAAAAATTTATTCCTAAAGTGACCAACGTGTGTCACAGTTTATCCAGTAGTGAAAAAAAAAAATAATCAATAGAACAATAAAGAAAATTTTTGGTGCTGTTATTTTTAGGGGTAACAAAAACTATAAAAAGTTACACATTGTGCATAAAATTTTTGTTATTCTTTGAATGCAATAATTGTCATAGAGACACAATGCATAATGCTGAGTGAGAATTCTTACCCCTCAATTTTTTTTTTTTGCATATAAAAAAGGAATAGAAAAGGGACCCAGAATTGACCATTCAATAAATCACTTTGATGGAATTATTAATGTTGAAGAGAAATTTTGTGAATATTCTTAGGATCTTTTTTTTTTCATGGGTTGAAGTGGAAGGAAATGTGAAATTGAATATTGAATTGAAGATGTTAATTAAGTTGTGTGATTTAATGAGAATTTATTGAAGTTTTGTTCATTTTTGCTATTATATGAAGGAACAAACTGTAATTTTAACAACGTTCAAGATTTGAACGACAAATTTTCAAAAAATGCCAAAATTAAAATTTTCTTTAAATTTATATGCTTCACAAAAATAAAATCTGGAAATTTAAGAATTGATATATTGACATCTTATGGGGTCGTTCACTTATGACGTCAGAAAATAACGGTCATTTTTCAAAAAAAAAACAATGGATTTCTTGCTGCCCCCCCTCCTCCCCTGTACTTCATAAGTGAACGGTCCCTATACTATATTACTAATGGGTCATTTATAAATGACGTCAATTAAGAACTTTACTTTTTAGACACCCCCCATTCAAAAACTTAGAAGGACATTCATAAATAATTTATTCCAAAAGGCAACAGACACCCCACCCCCTCCCTTTTTCAAAGGGGAAAATAGTTAAAAATCATTCATAAACGTCCCATAACTTTAATTTCACTTCAATTGCTCTTCTTCATCACTAATTTGCGGCAGTCTCTGACTTCCTTTGTTCACTTTTGATTCTAAAAAGACATTTTTGAATAAAATCGATGCTGCAAATGAGCCTAGCATGGGTCCAATCCAATAAATCCAGTGATGATCCCATTTACCATTATATAATGCTGGACCGAAGCTTCTAGCTGGATTCATGCATCCACCACTTAAGTTGCCCTGAAATTTGATAGAAAATGTAATCACATTTTAAGTTGCATTAGGTTATACTGGATGTCCTTGATTTGAATAGTGGGTTTTGGTCTAAAAATCAAACTATTCAAATTCAGGACCCTCAGAAGTTGTTGGGTATTACAGCGATTAACACCAAGGCAGAAACTGTGAATCCCACTCTCATCGATGTGCTGTCTGAAAATTCAATAGTAAAGAATTTTTTGTGGTTGAAATAATGCATTTGAAATATTATTTCGGAGTCGAAATCAGTTTTGCGATACAGGCACATGCACACAGATGAGAACCGTACAATTCGTCGATAATTTATAAGGTTTTTTTAACAAAACCATTCAAATTCTAATAAAACCTCTCAAATTATCAAGGAGTTCACCTGTGCACAGGTGCCCGTATCGCAACCCTGGTCGAAACGGATCAACTTGACTTTTTTCGTCAAACATTTTTAAGTCTAAGTCTACTTCGAGCTCTGATTAATAATAAGGAACTGATAAATTATGATTTGTTCATTTAAACTCTTGGCTCTGACATTACCTTGATATTTCTCATTCCTAGGATCCCAAACTGCACTCAATACACACATTAAAATGAAAGTGATGACAAACTCAATCACAACAGCTCTTCCAATGTCAACTTGTGGAGAATTCACACAAAAATTTTCAGAATCAGAAATATATTCAGATCGAACTAGTGCTCTTACTAGAACATGTCCAAAAACACCACCAACTAGTTGAGCAACGACATAGACAATTGCATCCTGGAATGATTCTTATTAGTTCTCAAAGTAGCTACTTAAGCTCCCAAATGACTCACTTTAAAGCTTATAATTTTAAAGATTAATGCACCAAGTGTCACAGCTGGATTTACATGAGCACCAGAAATTGTACCAAAGCTATTGATTGCAATCATCAAAGCTAGTCCGGCTCCTATAGAAGCAGTAATGATTGTAGGCTTGAAGTTTTCCAAATTATCAACACATCCTAAGCAGTTAATGAAAAGTAAAATTGCAGTTCCTATAGCTTCGGCTATGAAGATTTTGGCTACTTTTGTGTGTTCTTCACTTAACATTTTTTTTACTAGATTTTGTATTCTAAATTCACGAGTTCTTTTTAAATAATGCCTAATCTTTGTAAGATCTGTCTGTCTATTAACCATAATTAATGTTCAAATGAACTGCGTCAATCTTATCAGACTAGATGCAATTTAATATACAAATAGAAATTATAGCTCTGCAAATAAGAATTGCTTAATAAAGATGAATAAGTTGCTTCCTTCTGCATGATATGATAAGATTAAAGTCAAAATATATTTGACGTTGATATTTAATTTAAGTCTAATTATCATAAAAGTGAAGATATTTCGGGTTTCAAACCTTAATTTAAAAGGCGTTGAGCATGAAAGGTGTGGATGCACATCTTTATCAGTAAGTGTAGCTTTATTTGATTAAATAGCAATCAAGAATAAAGAGTTCGAATCTCAAAATCAATCATGTAAATGAAATGAATCATTCATTTGATAAAGATCATCAAAATAGATTTCTTATAGCTTCATTTCATTTATATGATTGATTTTGAGATTCGAACTTTTGATTCTTGATTCCTTTTTTTAATTAAGTCACAATTCTTTCAATGTTTTACTATCTCAAAATCCAACAAAACATAAATATAAACTCCATAAAATCCTGAAAAAAAGAGATTTCCATCACCAAGATCAACTCAACTAAAAACGAACAAAATCTTAAATGACTGATGGAATCTTTCAGCACTTAGAGAATAATCTCATCATGATCTTCGTACAAAGATGCACATTTTCATGTATTTTAAGACCTCCAATGCATCATTCTCATTAAATTGTAACATAACCCTTGAAAATTATTTTTAAATTTTTACGACATAAAAATTTGTCTCATGAACATGCTCATTCCATCTCTCCCTCAACCAATTCCGTTCTTAAACTCTTTCGGTCGATCTTGGTGATGGACTAAGAACATATGTTCATTATCATTTGTGCATCATTTGAGTAGAAATTTTCATCGCTTTTCATGTCTACATATGATGCTGCACTCGATGAGGATGGATGAGTTTATGTTAAAAATAAACAGTCATGCTGCAGTGTTTGGGGTCAACAAAATTTCTTCGTTCTCAACCAAAGATTTATATATTTTTGGCTAGGGTAACGTCTTTTATGTTTTAAATGCCATATACATGCACACATACTCATCATAGTCATAAAAGTGATGCTTTTAAATATAAATTAAGATTTCCGAGAAATATCCGTGAAAGATGTAAGCATGAAATAATGTAAATAGATGTAAAATGATACGAATTTTAATACTCATTAGAGGAGGATTGGGAAAATTTTGGATTAATTGATGGATTTTCTTGGAAATGATGGTGACTTTCTAATTAGGTGATGTTGATTTTGGAGCTAGATATATTGGAAGTTGAGACTTGTCCGTAAATGACGTACTTACTTACTTACTTCGCTGGCTGTACAGATCAATTGTGATTCATGGTCTCCCTTAGATGTCGCCTCAAGCTGGCTCTATCACTGTCAACAGCTTATTTCCAAGAGTTCTTGGGATGCCTGCGTGACCGCGTAAATATCGTTAACCATGATTAATAATTTGTTTTAGAGCTGGTTTGTGAGGATCTGAACTTCTAAGGATCTTAAAACCCAAAATCAATAAAATCAGCAAAAAAATGCAAAAATTAATTAAAACGTTGATCTATAACTAATGACAGTAAATTTGATCGACACTGTATTATTAGAACTATTGAATTTGAACCTGTAACATTTCAGAAAATTCTTAAATTTCAAACTTTACAACTTTACTGTCATTATTTCAACTTTACAACTTTACAACAATCTCAAACAATTTCCTTATTAAAAATCTCTCAAAATCCAAGATCGATTCTCAAAATAAATCTACTATTCGTCTCCCATCCTCTAAAACATTCAATCCAATTTCCACAAACAAAATCTCGAATTTTCTAGGTTAACAATATATTCATGTTTATTTATCATTCTCATATTTGACGTGCAACGATCATTTTTCCACAAACCAGACTAATTTTAGCCTCTTTCTTCATCTTTTTTGAGCTGCGCACTTGAAATTTGATGCACAAATGTTTAAGAAATCTCTGCTTGAAATTGAACTTGACTGTAAACATTTTTCATGTGTGCTTCAAAACGAGAGAGAATGAAGAGGGACAGCCGCGATAAATTTAAATGTCTTAAGACGTCTTGAATGTGCATTTTAATGGCTTAACTTCATTAACATTGGAGATTTTTCTCCCTTACTTTTATTTTGATGATCATTCGATTTGAATTTCAGATGGATGTAGTGAGGGATATTTTTAGGGGTGATCTATTTTTGGAATGTAGAATTATTTTGACTTTTAAGGCACAGATGATGTTGGATGGATTAAAAATGATAACTTTTAAAACAAAAAGTTTTGATGATAGTGCCAAAAGATTTGCAATTTACTACAATTAATAGGATTTAAACCTTTGAAAATTCGATCTCGCAATTTTGCGAATAATTGACAAAAATTCCAATATTAAATATAAGTACAAAACTCAAACTATGAACACCAATTACTCAGATCCAATCCATCTACAATCATTTAACCCAATTTTCAACAAATCTGTAATTCAATATTTGCAGTATCCTTTCCTCTTGTTACATAATGTAATCTTCAAGTTCTTACACAATAAGCCTTTCCATTTCTTCATAAAATTTCATCTCCAAAGAATTTTAATCCGATACCCTTCAACGGGACATCAGTTCTGTTCAGCCTTCAAGTCCATTACACATCTAAGAAAATTTTTTGATCCTTTCATATTGTTTGCAGAACTAAAGATTCTTTCTATTGCACAATTTCTCATCATTGTGCTGTTAATTGAATTGAGAGAATTTTATGGATACATAAAAGAAATAGGTTTTTTTCTTATAAAAGATCGAGATGTGGGCAGATTTTATCCAATTCTTATTGATGCGTTTCAATAATAGCTGTTGAAAAAGGATGTTTGGCACACATAAAGTACAATAAAAAATACGTAAAAAATTGAAACATGAAATATAAAAAATGGAATTGAGGACTAATAGTATCGTCTTACACAACTGTTTGAAAGAACTTAGAGCAAAAAAGGAAATTTCCAATTGTACATAATAAAAATGTGAAACGCGTGTTCAGCTGCCAGGAAACCCTTTGATGTTTGTTACTAGAAAATATATACATCACATGAGAGCTCAGAAAGTTTCACTGAAATTGTCTTGTTCCACTTTTTATTACTTCTGCTATTAAGCTTGAAGCAATGGATATTATGTAAGAGAAGGCTAAAAAGCATAATTAACACAAGAAATTTAACGGATTTTTTTGAAATGTTTGCAAAGGGCTTGCAACTATGAATTTCAACTTCTCACTTCAAAAAGTTTTAAGCCTATTTTTCTTGAATTTGACAGAATATTACTGCAATAATTAACAAATCAGCCTTAAAAAGATAGCAAAGCATCCATTAATTTCATATGAAATCTCTAAGTCAATTGAATTGTCCAAAATTACAATTTTAAAATCCACACGATTTTTAACCGTTTTCATAAATTCAAATCCAAAGGGTCTATAACCATGTCAAAATTGTGTCCAACTCGAAAAGATTTTCTCGATTTTCTTCTTGATTTCACATGATTCATAGCTATTTTCATAACTAATCACCAGAAAAACATGGCAAAAGTAGATCATTAACCTTCTGAGCCTCCTACTGCCTATAAATTATTTCAAATTCAACAAATCATTCTAAATTCATCCAAAACGACTAGCAAACAATCCCCATATTTCCTAATAACTCACAACGCAAACCACATTATTGGAAGAGAAATTAAGTTTCGCCGCGCTAAATCCATTAAATACAACAAGAAGCAAAACTTTTTCTGTGATAGAAAGCAGTAAAGCACCGAGTACATTATTTCACCCCCGATATGAATGTGCCAGGCACTGCCAGCTATTGGTATGAAGGAGCGCACGACATCCAAAACCCAATGGTCATTGCTTCCATTGTGCTTGATTCGCCCTCGCTTCCTTTCGTCCCACTAATCAATAAAATTTATTGTTTCTCGTGGTAACCTTATGCTCCTTACACGATATTGTTTTGTAGATATTTTTTTTTGTTCTGTTCAATGCACATATATCTAGGTTAATATCCTCACCAATGTGCTGTTCCTTTCTCCCTATCGTCGCTTTCGTCCTTCTCGAATGGGCAATCAACAACAAGTTGATTTATGCTCATAAAATGAGTTTCTTTCAGGGTGCTTTACTCGATAAATAATTTCTCTTTTTCTGACTTTATGTGTGCCCATTTGGGGTTTTGTGAGTCAAGGGGAAGACATTGAGTAGCAATAAAAAATAAAAGAATGTATTGCAAAAATTTATATAACAATTTCGATTATGAAATTTATGAAATCTTAACTAACAGGATTTGAACCTTTATATCTTTGTCGCAAATTCTTGTCAATAACGTTTTATGTCGTATGAAAATAATGGCAAAAATTCTATTTAAAAAAATTAATTCCCTTCCCATGCCTTCCTTCTTCGACACTCTCTTTTTGTGACTTCCTTGTTGTTTTATCAATAAATATTTAATTCACAATTTCTGTGTGCAGGCAGAATGAACATTATTTTCATGTTTGTGGTGACTTATGAAATTGGACAATTTTAGTTCATTCTTTATGTGCTGTTTGTTGGATCAATGACAATTCTTTTTTTTTCGGTCGCAAAGTTAATGTTTCGACACATAATTCGTCACATGTGATTTTAATAAATTTTGACAATTTGGGTATGTTGGTTTGAAATATGATTTTTTTAAGATTTTTTACTATGAATTTAAATTCATTTAAAATTTAACTTTATTAAAAAAATTCTTCAAAACGTGAAAAACTTATTAAAAACATTTTTAAATGCTACAAAATAGAACACAGCATATCAAAATAACGCTTAAACCAAAACAACTTCCCCTTCCCTTTTCTCAATATGACTAAGCACATGTGAAGGTAAGCAACATGCGCAACACATGATGCGCAGAAAGCTCAACTTAAAATTCAAATTTTTTATAACCGTTATACGATGGTGTGTATAGGAATTT